GGTGCTTGTGAGTTGGAGGTGCTTGTAAGGTGCTCATGAGGTGGAGGTGCTTGTGAGTTGAAGGTGCTCATGAGTCGAAGTTTGCTTGTAAGGTGCTTGAGTGGAGGTGCTCGTGGTTGGAGGTTCTTGTAAGGTTGCTTGTGAGGTGGAGGTGCTTGTGAGGTGCTAGTGAGATGAGGGCTTGTTGATGTGCTTGTGAGGTAGAGGTGCTTGTGAGGTGGAGGTGCTCGTGAGGTGAGGTGCTTGTAAGGTGCTTGTGAGGTGGAGGTGCTTGTGAGGTGCTCGTGAGATGGGGGTGCTCGTAAGTTGGAGGGCTTGTAAGGTGCTTGTGTGGAGGTGCTTGTGAGGTGCTCGTGAGATGGGGGTGCTCGTAAGTTGGAGGTGCTTGTAAGGTGCTTGTGAGGTGGAGTGCTTGTGATGTGCTTGTGAGTGGAGGTGCTTGTGAAGTGCTTGTGAGTGGAGGTGCTTGTAAGGTGCTTGTGAGGTGGAGGTGCTTGTGAGGTGCTCGTGAGGTAGAGGTGCTCGTGAGATGGAGATGCTTGTGAGGTGCTTGTGTGGTGGAGGTGCTTATGAGGTGCTTGTGAGATGGAGGTGCTTGTAAAATGGAGGTGCTTGTGAGGTGCTCGTGAGGTGGAGGTGCTTGTGTGGTGGAGTGCTTATGAGGTTCTAGTGAGATGGAGGTGCTTGTGTGGTGGAGGTCCTTATGAGGTGCTTGTGAGATGGAGGTGCTTGTAAAATGGAGGTGCTTGTGAGGTGCTCGTGAGTTGGAGGTGCTTGTGTGGTGGAGGTGCTTATGAGGTGCTAGTGAGATGGAGGGCTTGTGAGGTGCTCGTGAGGTGGAGGTGCTTGTGAGGTGGAGGTGTAATTGTACCGGGGGGTGCGGTTCTATTAGTTGGTCTGTCTATGCTAGAACCACTTTAGCACACAGCTCTTGGGAATCTAAGTCTACATATCCAGTCATCATGAGGAGCCATGGATAATTTATATCTGATGTGAGACCTGGCTCATCTTTCACTGCACGCTGCCCCAATTCTGTCGCCAGATGTCCCTGCTGGAGCTACAGTCAACATGACAGTGAGGTTAGAGTGTGAGAAGCATCGTTCTACAGTCTGGCTTCAGTTCAGCAACTCACCAGAAGCTCGCGTGGAACTGGGAGTGACCAGGGAGCATCAACACAAGGATCTGACACCAAAGCTGAACTTCATGTGCTTTATTTGGAGTTATTGATCATGTTTGCTGATAGACTGCTGAACCTGCAGGGTCAGCTGATTGGACGGTGTGCTGTTCAGCTGATGCAAGTTAGCTGCAGTGGAAGACGTCGTTAGCTACAGCTTTCACTTCACAAGTAACAACAACGACGCAGTCAGAGCTTACACCTCAATATTTTCTAACAGTTACATGCTGATGGAAACATTTATAGAGAACAGTTTCCTCACTGGGGGCCACGCATGATCCTTTAACCCTTTAACAGCCACTCTGCTCCTGATTGTTCAACATTTTACTTCATTGTCATTCAATACAGAAATGAAGAATCTGATTTCTGAATGTGTTGAACATCCCATGTTCATTTATTTTACCAGAACAACATTTATTTTACCAGAACAACTATCCTTGCTGGGACTAAATGTCCATTAAATGGTAAAACCTAGTGCTCTTCAGGTTAGTAAAGGTTTCCCACAAGGCTCTGCTCTTGGTAAACCGCTGCATTTATATAATTCACCCAGTAACACAGCAATGCCAGCCAGCTAACACTCACGTGGTCAGCATCGGGAGAAGTTTGGGGGGAGGTGGTATCGAACCGCCAACCGTGTGATTACCTCCGAGCCAGAGCTACTTTTATTCAACAGTACATAAACTATATTATCTCTGCCAATCCAAACTGTCATGTACATTTTTATGCAGATGATACTGTTTTATGCCACAGGTTCTTTGATACATTTCAGATCTCATCGAACATCAGCTGTTTTTAAACTCTGACAAAACTAAATGTCTGTATTCTTTAGGTCATTTATCTAGCCAACGGCCTTTATCCAAACTCTTCAGGGCTCTCCCATTAAAATAGTTGCATGTAATATGCTTGCATTGTCAGGTCTCAGGATGTTTTAATGTCAGCTGAGTTTGGAATAACTGCTTCAAACACTAACTCTCTACAGACGGAATGAGCTGCAAAAACTAAAATTTCACTTGATGATTTTAAAAGACTTTAAAAGTGTTTGTATTTCACTTGTAATACTGAAATTTAACGTACTACAAGGATTCTTTTCCGGCACACAGAGCCTATGTTCGGAGGAAGCTGGGGACCCTAACCCTTTTTTTTTTACCTTATATTTGTGGTTACGGCTGAAATAGGACATTGATAAAGCGTGAGCAAAAAGCTAGTCCACCTCGCTCACTCGTTCAACAGATGGAAAGAACTGTGGGATTTCAAAGATTCAAATTACCTGAGTTGGTCCTCTTCCTCCAAAACAGGTGTGTGCTGTGTCTCCAGCAGACGGAGGTATCCTCACGGTGGGCTTTACTGTCAAAAAGTATTATAATGGTGACATTACCAGGAAGCAAAGCTAACTTCAGCTTTCTCAACAAAATGACACGTATCCTTGTGTCTGAACGGAGCGCCGTCGTCATGTTACAGTTATTAATCTCACAGAGCCACAAATAGATGCGTTAGCTCGTCGCTATGTGTCCTGCTAACAGCTGTTTAAAAAAAAAGAGACTATTAAAATTAAGTTTTGTCTTTCTTTCACTCGCCTCCACAACAAACAACGCACCAGATCAAGACGTTTTCGACACAAAGTGATGGAACCACTGCCGCTTTCAACCACCGGGGGCCGCCAGACCACCAGAAACTGAAAGCAGGTCTTTAAAGTGTGACTGTGAGTCTGAACTCCTCAGGTCTGTCTTCAGCACATCACGATGTCAGTGAGATAAACATTACATTTAGCTTGTCGTCATGTGGCCTTACTGTGGAGCTCTGCGGGAGTTAAAGGGTTAAAGGTTCCCACTCTGACGTTCAGCAGCAAAAACACTTTCAGTTCTGAACATGTTCTCTTTCTGTAAAGACACATTTTAAATCAGTAGTTAAACTTTTCTGTTTTCCCCTGGATATGAAAGCCCCCCCCCGCCGTGGCCCTATTTGTCCTCCAGGTGGCCCCGCCCCCCATGCGGCGACCTCCACACACAAAACATTTCCTGTCGGACACGTGGAGATTAGTATAAAAACATTCCCGCGTCTCAGTCAGATAACAAGCTGTTTAATGGAAGTCCTCACGCTGTGCTGGAAGACTCCTTATTGCTACGCCATGAACCACAATCCTTTAACACATTTCATCACCACGCAATCCCTCCTGATGTGATGTCATTAAAAAGTCACATGACTTCAGAGTTGTGCTGTTATCACTGAGGCAGCTCCTGATTGGTCGCCTCCTCCTCCCTCCCAGACCAGAATCCACCTGTGAGATCATCCTCAGCTTCTCCCTGTTGGAGTACTTCCTGTGTGATGTCACTTCCCCTGTCCTCTGAGCCCCACCCTGTGACGTCACACGGCGCGGTGACGTGATCGACTCAAACGATTGGTCATCTCCGTGCGTCAGTTTGCTGTAACCTGTTGTGCTGGCGGTCGGCAGGCTCCGCCTCCTGCAGGGGGGGGGGTGGCGTGGAGGAGGAGGAGAAGAGGAGATGAAAGAGGGGAGAGCGACAGGTGGAGGGGGTGGGAGGAGAGAGAGGAGGAGCAGGGCCTGGGAGCCTCCTGGGGCCTCCCTGTGGAGACTGGAGGAGCTGCAGGAACCCTGGAATGGTCTGAGTGGGGGGGCGTGGGGAGCACAGAGGAGTGTGGACGTGCAGATACCTCTCTCTTCTTCCTGTCTGTGGCCTCCCCCCTCTCTCCCCTGCACCTCCTCCCCCTGGGGCCCCACCCCAGCCCCGGCCCGTCCCCCCCAGCTGAGTGCCTCCTGCGGGGGGCAGGGGGCGTGGGTGGCGCAAAGGCAAGGTGAAGGAACTGAGCGCCTCCTTCTGCAGGGAGTCCAGCATGTGGGAAGGTGGGGGGGGCTGAGGCTGGGGGGGGGGGTCTTTGGGAAGAGGGAGGAGGAGGAGGACGTCTGGCTGCTCACGGTAGATACTGAACACTGTGTTACCTCCATCACCACCCCCACCTCCTCCTCCCGTCCCTCCCTCCCTCCTGCTCATCAGGGAGGCGGGGTATGCCCTGGATTTTGTCTCCAGGCTCTTTGATTGGACGTAGTTAACGAGGCCATTGAGGGGTTGGCGGAGGAGCGGCGGGCGGAGGAGTTGGGTTTGCGGAGCTGTGGAGGTCGATGACGGTGGAGTAAATGTCCCGCAGGTTGATGACCTTGGTCTTCTTGTCGCGGTTCTCGTGCAGGACGGCGTTCGCACAGATGAAGAGGAAAATCCCGATGCCCATGATGAGAGGGCCAAAGACCTTCAGCCTATCAGAGTACAGATACCTGCGGAGACACCCACCAACACTTACTGTCAGACAGCAGGTACCTCCACCTGCAGTAGTTGCTACGTGATGTTTCATGTGCCGCCTGGTGACGGTGTTTCTCTCTCTGTGTTTACCTCCACCTGCTCCTGAGGGAACATCTGGCTCTGTAGCTGCTAGAAGCTCCACTGTTCACCGGCCGCTCTCTGACTCAGTCTGACTGACGGTCATCACACTAAAACAATAAAACAAACCACTAGAACGTCTAAAATGATCACTATACCCTCCTGAAAGACACTTAGAACCACCTCAGTTACAACAAGAACCACTAAAGCCTCCCAGGAGACAACTAGAACCTCATTAGAGACTAGTAGAACCACCCCTAATGACCACTACAACCTTCTACAGGATGCTTTCCCCAACTTAATTACAACAAAAACCAAAATGACCTCTACCACCACCGATATGACATCTAGAACCACACACCTGAACCCCCCTAAAGAACCAATAGGAACTCCAGAAAAGATGTCTAGAACCCCCAAGGGACCATTAAGCTCTCTTCAATGAATACAACCGACACAGGAGGCTTCAATTACCACAACAATCTCAAAAGCCCACTAGAGAGCTTAAAGGACCACTAGAACTCCCTAGAGAGCCGCTCATAAAGGACTACTCAATGACTCCCAACAATCTCATGTAGGACATTTAAATGACCTTAAGTACCTCCTAAAGACCTCTAGAACTACCTAAAAGGCCGACACAACCTCTTAAGGGGCCACTGGACCTACCTAAGGGACTAGTAATTGACCAATACAAATTCCTACAGGACCTTAGGACCCCCTGAGTACTTCAAGAACCTAGAGGACTTCTAGAACCACCTGAGGGAGTCATATTAAATTTACTGCCACTCTTAAATAAGATTGTAGCAACAGCAGACTGAGAGAGAGAGAGTTTACCTGTCCAAAAGTCCTGCAGAAAGCCTTGTGGAAGCTGTGGAGTCGTCCCGTTCATGTTTTCTTTGATGTTAAATCCATCGTCACCTCCTTTCTTCTTCTCCTCTCCTTCTGTGTCGTCTCCTTCATGTACTCCCCCGGCCCCCCCCCCTCTGGCCTCCCTGGAAGCAGTCAGAGAGACGTTCAACACAACATCTGGTTCTGCTGTGTTAAACCTGCGCCTTCAGTCACGAGTCTCCAGCACTCACATGTCTGCATGAAGATTTGGGTCCCTGTAATCTCTCCTGTTCCTACTGGACTCAAAGAAAGTCCTTTCCTAAAGTGATTCCATTGTATGTAACGGTGGAGGACATCTTTTAATTAAACTTTGTTTTAATTCAACTTTCAGTTCAGTTTTATTTATAAATAGCGCCAGTTCAGAACATATCTCGATGGACTTTTTATGGAAAGCAGGTGTAGACCGTCCTCTTGTGATATTTAACTACTACTGCCCCCCTGTGACATGTTCTACTGTCCCCTGACTTGTTCTTCTGTCCCCTGACATGTTCTTCTGTCCCCTGACATGTTCTTCTGTCCCCTGACACGTTATACTGCCTCCTGAATGTTCGTCGGTCCCCTGACATGTTCTACTACCCCCTGACATGTTCTACTGCCCCCTGACACGTTATACTGCCTCCTGACACGTTATACTGCCTCCTGAATGTTCGTCGGTCCCCTGACATGTTCTACTACCCCCTGACATGTTCTACTGCCCCCTGACATGTTCTTCTGTCCCCTGACATGTTATACTGTCCCCTGACATGTAATACTGTCCCCTGACATGTTCTTCTGTCCCCTGACATGTTATACTGTCCCCTGACATGTTCTTCTGTTCCCTGACATGTTCTACTGCCCCCTGACACGTTATACTGCTGCTCCTGACACGTTATACTGCCTCCTGAATGTTCGTCGGTCCCCTGACATGTTCTACTAACCCCTGACATGTTCTACTGCCCCCTGACACGTTCTACTGTCCCCTGACACGTTCTACTGTCCCCTGACACGTTCTACTGTTCCCTGACATGTTCTACTGCCCCCTGACATGTTATACTGTCCCCTGACATGTTCTTCTGTCCCCTGACATGTTATACTGTCCCCTGACATGTTATACTGTCCCCTGACATGTTCTATTGTCCCTGACATGTTCTACTGCCCCCTGACATGTTATACTGTCCCCTGACATGTACTGTGACACATTCTACTGCCTCCTGAATGTTCGTCTTACCCCTGACACGTTCTACTGTCCCCTGACATGTTCTACTGTCCCCTGACACGTTCTACTGTTCCCTGACACGTTCTACTGTTCCCTGACACGTTCTACTGCCCCCTGATATGTTCTTCTGCTCCCTGAATGTTCTACTGCCTCCTGACACGTTCTACTGCCCCCTGACATGTTCTACTGCCTCCTGACATGTTCTACTGCCCCCTGACACGTTCTACTGCCTCCTGACATGTTCTACTGCCCCCTGACACGTTCTACTGCCCCCTGACACGTTCTACTGCCTCCGGACACATTCTACTACCTGCTGATATGTTCTTCTGCCCCCTGACATGTTCTACTGCCTCCTGACATGTTCTACTGCCCCCTGACATGTTCTTCTGCCCCCTGACACATTCTATTGCCTCCTGACACGTTATACTGCCTCCTGAATGTTCGTCTTACCCCTGACACGTTCTACTGTCCCCTGAATATTCGTCTGTCCCCTGACACGTTCTACTGTCCCCTGAATGTTCTACTGCCCCCTGAATATTCGTCTTACCCCTGACACGTTCTACTGTCCCCTGAATGTTCTACTGTCCCCTGAATATTCGTCTTACCCCTGACACGTTCTACTGTCCCCTGATATGTTCTACTGCCTCCTGACATGTTCTACTGCCTCCTGACATGTTCTTCTGTCCCCTGACATGTTCTACTGCCTCCTGACATGTTGTACTGCCTCCTGACATGTTCTTCTGTCCCCTGACACGTTCTACTGTCCCCTGAATGTTCTACTGCCCCCTGACACGTTCTACTGTCCCCTGATATGTTCTACTACTGCTTCCTGACATGTTCTACTACTACTGCCTCCTGACATGTTCTCTTCTGTCCCCTGACATGTTCTACTGTCTACTCTACTGCCCCCTGACACGTTCTACTGCCCCCTGACACACGTTCTACTGCCCCCTGACCCGTTCTACTGTCCCTTGATATTTCTACTGCCTCCTGACACGTTCTCCTGCCTCCTGACATGTTCTCCTGCCTCTTGACATGTTCTCCTGCTTCCTGACATGTTCTACTGTCCCCTGAATGTTCCTACCTCCTGACATGTTCTCTCTGCCTCCTGACATGTTCGTCTGTCCCCTGAATGTTCTCCTGCCTCCTGACATGTTCTCCTGCCTCCTGACATGTTCTCCTGCCTCCTGACATGTTCTACTGTTTCCTGGTTGCCAGGCTCGATCTGGGACGGCTGTGGCTCAGGAGGTAGAGCGGGTTGGCCGTTAATCGGAAGGTCAGCGGTTGTCCCTGGACTGACTGTTCTGCCAGTGTATGTGAATGTTAGTTTCCCTTTGAGGCTCAGTGTATGAATGTGAATGCAGATGTAGTGTAAAAGCGCTCTGAGTGGGCGAAAAGACTAGAAAGGCGCTATACAAATACGGAGCATTTACATCTGGATCTTACCAGAGCATCACCAGGTGCAGGTGTGGAGCTGCTGGAGGACACTGAGGCCATGGCGGCACCCTCCTGTGGCTGAGTGCTGATAAACAGTCCGCCTCGAGGCCAGTAGCCCAGAGCCGCCATGACCGCACCCACCAGCAGGACCAGGATGCCAAGGGCTGCCACAAGACCTGCGATCGAAAACAGCTTCAACTTGCCCTTCACCACCACCACCTCGCTCCTCCTGGGGGCAGGAAGTGACATCATTATGTGCTGACAGGTTAAACGTTCCTGAAGGTCAGACTGTTCTCTTACTACGTACTGCAGCTTCCCTGACTACTTTTGCATGCAGTCTGCATACAGCTGGGCTTCTACTGAACTTTGAACCTCTGGCTCATGCTGTGCATTGTGGGTCAGTAGACAGAAAAGCAGCTGGCCTGCAGACTCTACTGGAATACTGAACAGCGTGGTACTACGGGTACTGTTACCTCTTCTTCTTGTTCTTCCTCTTGTGTGCGTGTGCTTTGTTTGTTTTGGACTTCAGTGAGTCCTGTCGCCGCGCGTTAATCCGCAGGAGGCCGCCAGTTGCGATCATCACCACCCACCAATCAGACGGCGGCTCGGCGGGCTAATCCCCGCCCACTGCCACCTCACCTGGACTCAGTCACCAACTTCCTGTTAGAAACAAAGTAAGAAATATTAGCTCTAAAGTATTTAAATATTTCGGTTTGTTTATTTTATTCCACTGAAGAAACGGCGTGCAGTTTATTTTTACTCGTTTTAAAACGCACCGCCTTCTCCGTTTGGATATTTACATGAAACAGCTGTTTCTAACATCAGGTTTCATTATCAGGACTCCCATGACTCCTCCGGGCCTCCGTAGCTCTGACCACACTGCAACTCCCACAATGCAACGCTCACCCTCTGACAGAACTACGTCTCCCAGCATGCACGGCAGCTCCTCCACAAGCTGAGTGGATTCTACTGATTCTACTCTGACTCACATCTGTGCAGGATCAATACTGATCAATCAGTGTCAGTCATCACAATGATGACAGACTTCCTCTGTTCAACACTAATCAATACAGTTATCGATCAGAATGACGATCAATACTGGTCAGTAACACCGTGACAGAACAGAGCTGATCGGAGAGAAACTGTACAGAGCTAATGGATCGCTGCTGCAGAGCGAGCGTGTTCACTGCTGAACACAAAATAAAACAGAACGTTCTCACTGTTTCAGCTGCCGTCGCTTCATGTTGCTGCTGCCGTTTCCTCCTCTTTAAGTCTTTCCTCCTGTCGTCTCCCCCTCTGCTCCTCTCTCTCCCTCCTCTGGCGGCTCTGCAGTGATGCTGAGCGGAAACGCATCTCCTCCTCCAAGGGGGGGGGGGGCAAAGAGAGAGAGGGGGGGAGAGGGAGGAAGAGAGAGAGAGAGAGGGAGAGAGAGAGAGAAGGAGGTAGGGAGAGGGAGAAAGAGAGTGGGGGAGGGAGAGAGGGAGGTAGGGAGAGGGAGAGAGAGAGAGGGAGGGAGAGAAAGAGGGAGAGAAAGAGGGAGAGAAAGAGGGAGAGAGAGAAAGAGGGAGAGAGAGGGAGGGAGAGAGAGGGAGAGAGAGAGAGAGAGAGAGTGGGGGAGGGAGAGAGAAACTACAGCCCCCCCTCAGCCTTCCACAGAGGCTCGGGCTGTGGACGGTCTGTAGACCTCAGCTCAGCAACATCTGAATCATATGTTTCCGTATAAATGTTCTCAGAGGAAGTTTGTCCCTCCTGAGACTCCATACGTGCTGCATCAGATGTTAATATTGAGTCCTGCGAGTCTGACAGTCCACATCTGCTGGGAAAGATGACAAAAACAATTTCTAAGAATGATTCTGATTTAAAGCTCTGAGAGTGTAAAGCCTCAGACGGTTCCGGTCTGTGGGGGAGGGGGGCTGGTTCTTACGTCAAACTGAACCTCAGTTAAATTATCGAGGACCCTGTGAAGGTTTCACTCTGAGACAGAATGAAGGTCTCTCCTCACGGATGGAGACATGTCGGACACCTGGGCGCCACCATTACGAATCTGACAGCCTGACCAGAGCCATCTCCCGTTCCCTGAGCTCCCCTCGTACCCCTGAAAGTCTGTCGGGTAGGACCGGACAAGACGTAAGACCGAGTGAAAGTCAAGATAGCTAAGACCAGACACAGGGGAAGCTGGAGAAGAAGAGGGTCAGAAGCTGGACTGGGATGTGGACCTTGTGCTTATGGGTCAGCTCAGAGGCAGATTAGGGTCGGTTCAGGTGGAGACCTGGCTGGTTCCTGAGGAAGCTGGCGAGGTCCTAAAGGCAGGACGACCAACACCCTCAACACCATCGCAGCTGATCCAAGTGGGGAACAGAACACCATATGCAGGAACACCAGTTCCCAGTACAGAACCAGATCAGTCACTGACCCCTGCAGGCTGACCCAGGCTGCAGAGGCTGTACTGGAACTTCATGTCTGAAGACTTTGGGAGTGACTATGAGCTAAAGAAGGAGCTCGCAGAGCGAGCAAACGTCTGGCTGAGACGGAGACCAGATCAAAATACGCGGGGAAGACAAGGATCCCAAAGTCCGCTGCAGGAGGAAGACGAAGCAAACACACAGAAGACAGGTGACTGCTGTGAGCAGTAAACTCACCTGTGCTTCCTCACGTCATTAACTGTAGGCAAAGGGTTTCGAGCAGGAACACGAGGTCAGCAGGCGACTCGTAACCACAGATCCAGAGCCAGAAACTCTGGCTCCTAGTCTACTTTTGGAGACTCTAGGAACCACAGGTGCATTCTGGGAGCGCAGTGCTCTGGTGGGGTAGTAAGGTACTATGAGCTCTTTAAGATAAGATGGTGCCTGACCATTAAGAGCTTTGTAGGTAAGAAGAATGATTTTAAATTCTATTCTGGATTTTACTGGAAGCCAATGCAAAGAAGCTAAAACAGGAGAAATGTGATCTCTTTTCCTGGTTCCTGTCAGAACACGTGCTGCAGCATTCTGGATCAGCTGAAGAGTCTTAACGGACTTTTTTGAGCAGCCTGATATTAAGGAATTGCAGTAATCCAGCCTAGAAGTAACAAATGCATGGACTAGTTTTTCTGCATCATTTTTAGACAGGATGTTCCTGATTTTCGCAATATTAAGTAAGTGAAAAAAGGCGGTCCTTGAAATTTGCTTAATGTGAGACTTAAACGACATGTCCTGATCAAAGATAACTCCAAGATTCCTCACAGTGGTGCTGGAGGCCAAGGTGATGCCATCCAGGGAAACTATATCTTCAGATAATGCGTCACGGAAGTGCTTAGGCCCCAGAGCAATAACTTCAGTTTTATCTGAGTTTAACATGAGAAAATTACAGGTCATCCAGGTTTTAACATCCTGAAGGCACATTTGAAGTTTAGCTAACTGATGAGTTTCATCTCGCTTGATCGATAGATATAACTGAGTATCATCTGCATAACAATGAAAGCTTATGGAATATTTCCTGATAATATTGCCTAAAGGAAGCATATATAAAGTGAAGAGGATTGGTCCGAGGACAGATCCTTGTGGAACTCCATGACTAACTTTGCTATGTTGCAGTATGTTCCTACAGGAGCCAATGAAGCAGTGATACATAAACACCTGTATGACATCAGCTGTTACCTGGACTGTGTCTCCAGGTAGGTCACCTGGTCAAAGAGAACCAATGAACGGGCAGCAGATAACAAACTTTATTAATCTCATCAAACACTGACAGAAACAGCAGAGAAAAGAACAGAAACATCAGCAGATTGTTGGAAACTTTAAAACAACCCGTACGTTTAAATTCATGCACCGTTAGCGTGGAAACCTGAGGAACTGTTAGAAACCCGAGATACAAACTGAGCGTGTGCACAAGAGCGCCCCCGTGACGTCACAGTGACATCACTGGGAAGGCGGAGTCAGAGTGAACTCCTGGTTTGAATGCCAGACAGAAATAGAAATATATATATACCTGTGTATAAACTTTAAAATAGAACTCTATAGAGAAACAGGACAAGTTCAAACACGAGAGAGAATAAAACTATAAATATAAACTCTGGAATTAAAACTGAGCTCTGACCACACAAGGACCAATCACAGCAGAGGAGGCGTAAGTGTAAAAACCTCCATCACACAAAGCCCGACAGGCGGATCCTGAGAGTCTTTAGAGTCATTACAGTGGGGCGGAGCCTCAGTGTGATGTCACTGACCGCTTCCTGTGTGGCGTTTATTCCGGAGCCGTTACATTCGTGTCATCAGGGATCTGGTCTTAATGAGGACTGAACATCGTTAATCTATTTATCTAATTATCACCAACCAATATATAAATTCAGATTAATATTTTAACTCGTAATGGTGAGTTTTTTTTCCTCACAATTATAAAATCTTTTCTCACAATTGTGTCTTCATATTATTACTGGCCCTTTCTCGCCATGTCAAGACGTTTCTCACAGCTATGAGAAGCGTTAGCGAACGCAGCTTTTTATTCTTTGTGTTCACGGTTCATTTTGTTTTGTTCTTTTACAGACAGGAATTAAGAGCCGGGTTACAAATATCTGGGATCTATGATCTTAACTTCATCACATATGAAGCGCCTGTCAAGAGTTTTTAGCCAATCAGCTGGCAGCAGCCATGTCCACCAGTTTTGTGGAAAATTCAATAAAACTTTATCCAGACTGTCACAGAGGAAACAGAATGAGTCCAGCTGAGGCCACTTCAGGCCCCCCCTCCTTCCCCCTGACCAGTCTGAATCACATACGGTATAAAACATGGACGCTCCGTGACATCACCACAGGCCGACCATCTTGGCGGCGCCTGACTCGCCTAAATGGCCACATGTGGTGAGTCATATGAAACCAGGTGAGGGGGGGGGAGATCAGCTCTAGAGACCACCCCGTGCTTTGCCCCAGGCTGTCCACGTTTGTTTCTGCTGTTTGACACGAGGGTCTGTGGGACGGACTCGCCAGGTGAGGCTGCATCATCACAGCAGCTATGTCCTTCAGGCCTCAACATCCTGGAGTCCTTTGCGCAGCGATCCTGGTTTTGGTGAGTCCAGTCTGTCAGTCTTTAGTTCTCTGAAGGGAACACCAGCACTAAGCCACGTCCCTCCAAAGAGGCGGAGCCTGAAATGGCGCTCAGCGGGGTGTTCAATCTGAAAACGCTGTGTGAGTTTCCAGGTTGAACAGCAGGTTTCCTTGAAACAGTGCGCAGTGGGCTCTGAGGTGCGTCTTCTCTCATTGGTGGAGGTCTTACCCAATCAGCAGTGACGTGTAAATAAACACTGCGGCGCACCAACCGGGCGTTCAAGGCACCACGGCTCCTTTAGGGGGGCTGAACTGGGCGTCAACAAACTTTCTGTGTCTCATTTTCTTCTTTGTGATGAACAAACGTGAGGTCACGTGACCGCCAGCTGACAGAAACACCTGAGAGAGAAGTGTGAATGTCAAACCTGACTGACGACTGGATGAAAAGTGAACCGTGATGTTGTCAATCAGGTGTTTCCGGAGCGGCTCAGTCAGTCAGTCGGTCGCAGGTGTCAGGTGTGATTGGTTCATGTCCCCAGTGTGTGATTGGCTGCTGTCCTCTGTGTCTGATTGTCTCCTCTCCTCGGCATGTGATTGGCTTCTGTCCTCGGTGTCCGATTGTCTCCTCTCCGCGGCGTGTGATTGGCTCCTCTCTCCGGTGTGTGATTGGCTCCTGTCCTCGGCGTGTTTGAACATCAGGATGGAGTTGTAGATTTTAAGGGCGGGACCAAGTTTGATTGACATTATCCTGACAATGTCCCGTTGGGTGAGCAGGAGGAAGGCCCGACCATCAATTTGCTAAACAGACAGAAGAAGGAACCAATCAGATCAAAGCAAGTTCAATGTGATGTAATAACATATACAGGAACTGATTGGTCGTCTCACCTCATCTCTGAAATGTTTGGCCTGTTCCTCACAGCCAGGAAGAGACTCAACGAAGTCTGACACCTGCAGAGAGACAAACAGGCGAGAGAGAGACAGACAAGTGAGAGACAGAAAGAAAGGTGAGAGAGAAAGACAGATGAGAGAGACAGACGAGAGAGAGACAGACAGGTCAGAAGTCTTGTATACCTGTAAAGTAGTGAGCGTGTGTAAAGCAGTGAGCGTAAAGCTTGTAAAGCTTGTATAACAGTGTAAAATAGTGAGTGTACCGCTTGTATAACAGTGTAAAGTAGTGAGCGTGTGTAAAGCAGTGAGCGTACAGCTTGTACAGCTTGTATAATAGTGTAAAGCAGTGAGCGTACAGCTTGTACAGCTTGTATAACAGTGTAAAGTAGTGAGCGTACAGCTTGTATAACAGTGTGAAGTAGTGAGCGTACAGCTTGTACAGCTTGTATAACAGTGTGAAGTAGTGAGCGTACAGCTTGTACAGCTTGTATAACAGTGTAAAGCAGTGAGCGTACAGCTTGTACAACTTGTATAACAGTGTAAAGCAGTGAGCGTAAAGCTTGTACAGCTTGTATAACAGTGTAAAGTAGTGAGCGTAAAGCTTGTACAGCTTGTATAACAGTGTAAAGTAGTGAGCGTACAGCTTGTATAACAGTGTAAAGTAGTGAGCGTACAGCTTGTACAGCTTGTATAACAGTGTAAAGCAGTGAGTGTACAGCTTGTACAGATTGTATAACAGTGTAAAGTAGTGAGCGTACAGCTTGTATAACAGTGTAAAGTACTGAGTGTACAGCTTGTAGAGCTTGTATAACAGTGTAAAGCAGTGAGCGTACAGCTTGTACAGCTTGTATAACAGTGTAAAGCAGTGAGCGTACAGCTTGTACAGCTTGTATAACAGTGTAAAGCAGTGAGCGTACAGCTTGTACAGCTTGTATAACAGTGTAAAGTAGTGAGCGTACAGCTTGTATAACAGTGTAAAGCAGTGAGCGTACAGCTTGTACAGCTTGTATAACAGTGTGAAGTACTGAGTGTACAGCGTGTACAGCTTGTATAACAGTGTAAAGCAGTGAGCGTACAGCTTGTACAGCTTGTATAACAGTGTAAAGTAGTGAGCGTACAGCTTGTATAACAGTGTAAAGCAGTAAGCGCACGGCTTGTACAGCTTGTATAACAGTGTAAAGTAGTGTGCGTGCAGCTTGTATATCAGTGTAAAGTAGTGAGCGTGCAGCTTGTATAACAGTGTAAAGTAGTGAGCGTGTGTAAAGTAGTGAGCGTACAGCTTGTACAGCTTGTATAACAGTGTAAAGTAGTGAGCGTACAGCTTGTACAGCTTGTATAACAGTGTAAAGTAGTGAGCGTGCAGCTTGTATAACAGTGTAAAGCAGTGAGCGCACGGCTTGTACAGCTTGTATAACAGTGTAAAGTAGTGTGCGTGCAGCTTGTATATCAGTGTAAAGTAGTGAGTGTGCAGCTTGTATAACAGTGTAAAGCAGTGAGCGTACAGCTTGTACAGCTTGTATAATAGTGTAAAGCAGTGAGCGTACAGCTTGTACAGCTTGTATAACAGTGTAAAGCAGTGAGCGTGCAGCTTGTACAGCTTGTATAACAGTGTAAAATAGTGAGCGTACAGCTTGTACAGCTTGTATAACAGTGTAAAGCAGTGAGCGTACAGCTTGTACAGCTTGTATAACAGTGTAAAGCAGTGAGCGTACAGCTTGTATAACAGTGTAAAGCAGTGAGCGTACAGCTTGTATAACAGTGTAAAGCAGTGAGCGTACAGCTTGTACAGCTTGTATAACAGTGTAAAGCAGTGAGCGTACAGCTTGTATAACAGTGTAAAGCAGTGAGCGTACAGCTTGTACAGCTTGTATAACAGTGTAAAGTAGTGAGCGTGCAGCTTGTACAGCTTGTATAACAGTGTAAAGTAGTGAGTGTACAGCTTGTACAGCTTGTATAACAGTGTAAAGCAGTGAGCGTACAGCTTGTACAGCTTGTATAACAGTGTAAAGTAGTGAGCGTGCAGCTTGTACAGCTTGTATAACAGTGTAAAGCAGTGAGCGTACAGCTTGTATAACAGTGTAAAGCAGTGAGCGTACAGCTTGTACAGCTTGTATAACAGTGTAAAGCAGTGAGCGTACAGCTTGTACAGCTTGTATAACAGTGTAAAGTAGTGAGCGTGCAGCTTGTACAGCTTGTATAACAGTGTAAAGTAGTGAGCGTACAGCTTGTACAGCTTGTATAACAGTGTAAAGCAGTGAGCGTACAGCTTGTACAGCTTGTACAGCTTGTATAACAGTGTAAAGTAGTGAGTGTACAGCTTGTACAGCTTGTATAACAGTGTAAAGCAGTGAGCGTACAGCTTGTACAGCTTGTATAACAGTGTAAAGCAGTGAGCGTACAGCTTGTACAATAGTGTAAAGTACTGAGCGTACAGCTTGTATAACAGTGTAAAGCAGTAAGCGCACGGCTTGTACAGCTTGTATAACAGTGTAAAGTAGTGAGCATGCAGCTTGTATATCAGTGTAAAGTAGTGAGCGTGCAGCTTGTATAACAGTGTAAAGTAGTGAGCGTGTGTAAAGTAGTGAGCGTACAGCTTGTATAACAGTGTAAAGCAGTGAGCGTACAGCTTGTATAACAGTGTAAAGCAGTGAGCGTACAGCTTGTATAACAGTGTAAAGTAGTGAACGTAAAGCTTGTACAGCTTGTATAACAGTGTAAAGCAGTGAGCGTACAGCTTGTATAACAGTGTAAAGTAGTGAGCGTACAGCTTGTATAACAGTGTAAAGTAGTGAGCGTACAGCTTGTACAGCTTGTATAACAGTGTAAAGTAGTGAGCGTACAGCTTGTACAGCTTGTATAACAGTGTAAAGTAGTGAGCGTGCAGCTTGTACAGCTTGTATAACAGTGTTAAGTAGTGAGCGTACAGCTTGTATAACAGTGTAAAGTAGTGAGCGTAAAGCTTGTATAACAGTGTAAAGTAGTGAGCGTACAGCTTGTATAACAGTGTAAAGTAGTGAGCGTACAGCTTGTACAGATTGTATAACAGTGTAAAGTTGTGAGCGTAAAGCTTGTACAGCTTGTATAACAGTGTAAAGCAGTGAGCGTACAGCTTGTACAGCTTGTATAATAGTGTAAAGCAGTGAGCGTACAGCTTGTACAGCTTATATAATAGTGTAAAGCAGTGAGCGTACAGCTTGTATAACAGTGTAAAGTAGTTAGCGTACAGCTTGTACAGCTTGTATAACAGTGTAAAGTCGTGAGCATAAAGCTTGTACAGCTTGTATAACAGTGTAAAGTAGTGAGCGTACAGCTTGTATAACAGTGTAAAGTAGTGAGCGTACAGCTTGTACAGCTTGTATAACAGTGTAAAGTAGTGAGCGTACAGCTTGTACAGCTTGTATAACAGTGTAAAGTAGTGAGCGTGCAGCTTGTACAGCTTGTATAACAGTATAAAGTAGTGAGCGTGCAGCTTGTATAACAGTGTAAAGCAGTGAGCGTACAGCTTGTACAGCTTGTATAACAGAGTTGTATAACTCCTCCATGACGACGTCATGCAAATTTCCACTTTTATACAAGCAGTATACTGTAGCTAAAGGTAATTTCTTTAGTGTTGTCGCATGAAAAGATAGAATCAGATATTTAAAGAAATGTGGGGGGTGGACTCACTTTTGGGAGATACTGTTTAACCTCTCCCTCTCTCCCATACCTGTCTCTTCCTCTGATCTGTCGTACTGACCTGCTGGACGCTCCAGTGTTGGACGGTCTCGGCGTGGACTCCGGCGACGCCCGGCAGTAGTTTGCGGTGCTGCTCCCAGCAGAGCGATAGGTCGCGGCCGGGCTGCGCCGACATGGCCGACAGGAAGACAGACTGATGGAGGGCGGCCTGCAGACTGGACTCTGCTGCTGGAGAGAGAGAGACAGGTCAGAACGGAAGACGACACCTTTCAGGCGGTGGGCCAAATAAAACAGGCATAATACTCAATAAAACCATCAGCTGTCAGGTCTTTGGGTTCTGGACTGTTGGACACGGTCCAGAAACCTCCAGGAGGATCGATCCTGAACCAGATTTAAGGACAGTGGAGACACTGAGCTGTCTCACCCCCTGAGCAGTGAGACAGGCCGCATGGGGGGTGGGGGGCGCTCTCAGTCTTTCAGAGGAAGAAACACAACCGACACAGTAGTTACCATGGATAGCTGTTTCCATGGTAACTGCCACTTTATCTGTCTGCTGTTTCCATGGAAACAATAAGGAGAGAGGAGCAGAATTTACATCACGGTCTCCATGGATACCTGGAGTTTGTTAGTGAACTGACGACAACAGTCACTCCAGCCGGTTCTTCGTTTAGGAGCGCAGAGATTTCCTGAAGACGTCCTGCGACGCTGAAGCTGCTGTTAGTCACACATCCGGCTACAGTCGGTCTGTATCCTCCAGTCCAGGAGGAGGCCCTGATGCACCTGAACACCTGAGCTCACTAGCGTCAGCTAACAGCTCTCCGTAACACATTAATGATTTGTGTTTCTGCTACAAGCGAAGCTAAAGTTTGATCGAGGTTCACAAAGAGACAGAAGTCTCAGCAGGTCGTCCAGATGTAGCAGGTAAAACCTGACCTCAGCAGGTCCAGATAAACCACTAAAACCAGTAACCGTTGTCAGGGCAACGGAATACTAAGTAAAGCTTTAAAATCCAGATTCTCCTCTTCAGGCCTCTTCAGGTGGTTCAGACTGAACTGGTCTGGATGAGACTCTGAATGTGAACTGCGGTTTGACAGAGGGTCTACCATACCTGGACCGAGGGTGGTGACGTGAAGCTCCTCCTCTTCCTGTTTCACACGGAGGAATTTGGTTGGCTGGGAGAGTCTGGGAGAAGAAGACGTTATTAAAGTGTGTTCATCACATAAACAGATGTTTCTGCTGAAACCCTGCCTTTGTGGATCGATTCGTGTGCAGGACTTGGTGGCACCTGGCAGTTAGGCTGCCTAGTGTACCCACCTGGACACATGGGACCTGAACTGGTTCTAACTTTAATATATAGGAAAGAAGCTCCTCTGTAGTTACTGTTGGAGTAGTGAACACTTTATTCTGAAACTATCTCACATCACAACATCCTGGAACATGTGCTGCCGACAGGAAGTAACCCTTTCACAGCTTTACTCAAACTTTCGGCATCGACAGGGTTTTATGCTGCCAGAGTTTCAGAGCGGAGAGGCAGCCTGTGTGTGTTATATAATCCAGTTTTATATAACACACTCAGATTATCTGCTCCACCCCACACACTTCACACCCTCCTGTCAGCCTCTATTCTGAGACAGAGACAGGTCGGACGCCTCACAGGGATCTAACCAGCCAATCAGAGAGCTCCTTCACCTACACACACTCACAGACAAACTGTCAGTCTGTCTCACCTGTCTGTCTGTCTGTCGGTCTTTCTCACCTGTCTGTCTGTCTGTCTGTTTGTAGGCCTGTCTCACCTGTCTGTCTGTCTCACCTGTCTGTCTGTAGGCCTGTCTCACCAGTCTGCAGGCCTGTCTCACCTGTCTGTCTGTCTGTAGACCTATCTCACCTGTCTGTAGGTCTGTCTGTCTCTCTCACCTGTCTGTCTGTCTGTCGGTCTTTCTCACCTGTCTGTCTGTCTGTCTGTCTGTAGGCCTGTCTCACCTGTCTTTCTGTCAGCCTGTCTTACCTATCTGTCGGTCTATCTGTTTGAAGGCCTGTCTCACCTGTCTGTCTCACCTGTCTGTCTGTAGACCTGTCTCACCTGTCTGTCTGTCTGTCTGTCAGCCTGTCTCACCTGTCTGTCTGTCTGTCTGTCTGTCAGCCTGTCTCACCTGTCTGTCTGTCAGCCTGTCTTACCTATCTGTCGGTCTATCTGTTTGTAGGCCTGTCTCACCAGTCTGTAGACCTGTCTCACCTGTTTGTCTGTCTGTAGACCTATCTCACCTTTCTGTAGGCCTGTCTCACCTGTCTGTCTGTCTCACCTGTCTGTCTGTAGACCTGTCTCACCTGTCTGTCTGTCTGTCAGCCTGTCTTACCTATCTGTCGGTCTATCTGTTTGTAGGCCTGTCTCACCAGTCTGTAGACCTGTCTCACCTGTTTGTCTGTCTCACCTGTCTGTCTGTAGGCCTGTCTCACCAGTCTGTAGACCTGTCTCACCTGTCTGTCTGTCTGTCATCCTGTCTCACCTGTCTGTCTGTCAGCCTGTCTCACTTATCTGTAGGTCTGTCTGTCAGCCTGTCTTACCTATCTGTCGGTCTATCTGTTTGTAGGCCTGTCTCACCAGTCTGTAGACCTGTCTCACCTGTCTGTCGGTCTGTCTGTCTCTCTCACCTGTCTCTCTGTCTGTCGGTCTTTCTCACCTGTCTGTCTGTCTGTAGGCCTGTCTCACCTGTCTGTCTGTCAGCCTGTCTTACCTATCTGTCGGTCTATCTGTTTGTAGGCCTGTCTAACCAGTCTGTAGACCTGTCTCACCTGTTTGTCTGTCTCACCTGTCTGTCTGTCTGTAGACCTATCTCACCTGTCTGTAGGTCTGTCTCACCTGTCTGTCTGTAGGCCTGTCTCCCCTGTCTGTTTGTCTGTAGGCCTGTCTCACCTGTCTGTCTGTCTGTCTGTCTGTCTCTCAGCCTGTCTCACCTGTCTGTCTGTCTGTCTGTATGTCAGCCTGTCTCACCTGTCTGTCGGTCTGTCTGTAGGTCTGTCTGTCATCCTGTCTTACCTATCTGTCTGTCTGTTTTTCTGTAGGCCTGTCTGTCAGCCTATCTTACCTGTCTGTCTGTCTGTAGGCCTGTCTCACCTGTCTGTAGGTCTGTCTCACCTGTCTGTCTGTCGGTCTGTCTCACCTGTAGGTCGGTCTGTCTCACCTGTCTGTAGGTCTGTCTCACTTGTCTGTAGGTCTGTCTATCTGTAGGTCTGTCTCACCTGTCTGTCTGTCTGTCAGTCAGCCTGTCTCACCTGTCTATAGGTCTGTCTCACCTGTCTGTCTGTCTGTCAGTCAGCCTGTCTTACCTGTCTATCTGTAGGTCTGTCTCACTTGTCTGTAGGTCTGTCTATCTGTAGGTCTGTCTCACCTGTCTGTCTTTCTGTCAGTCAGACTGTCTCACCTGTCTATAGGTCTGTCTCACCTGTCTGTCTGTCAGTCAGCCTGTCTTACCTGTCTGTCGGTCTGTCTCACCTGTCTGTCTGTCTGTCATCCTGTCTTACCTATCTGTCTGTCTGTCTGTCGGTCTGTCTCACCTGTCTGTCGGTCTCACCTGTCTGTCTGTAGGCCTGTCTCACCTGTCTGTCTCACCTGTCTGTAGGTCTGTCTGTCTGTCTCACCTGTCTATAGGTCTGTCTCACCTGTCTGTCAGTCTGTCTCACCTGTCTGTCTGTAGACCTGTCTCACCAGTCTGTCAGACTGTCTCACCTGTCTGTAGGTCTGTCTCACTTGTCTGTAGGTATGTCTATCTGTCTGTCTGTCTCACCTGTCTATCTGTTGGTCTGTTCCATCTGTCTGTAGGTCTGTCTCACATGTCTGTCTCTCGGTCTGTCTCACCTGTCTGTAGGTCTGTCTATCTGTAGGTCTGTCTCACCTGTCTGTCTGTCTGTCTGTCAGTCAGCCTGTCTCACCTGTCTGTAGGTCTGTCTCACTTGTCTGTAGGTCTGTCTATCTGTAGGTCTGTCTCACTTGTCTGTAGGTCTGTCTATCTGTAGGTCTGTCTCACCTGTCTGTCAGTCAGCCTGTCTTACCTGTCTATCTGTAGGTCTGTCTCACTTGTCTGTAGGTCTGTCTATCTGTCGGTCTGTCTCACCTGTCTATCTGTAGGTCTGTCTCATCTGTCTGTCAGTCATCCTGTCTCACCTGTCTATAGGTCTGTCTCACCTGTCTGTCTGTCTGTCAGTCAGCCTGTCTCACCTGTCTGTCAGTCTTCTTCTCTTCCCCAGAGGAAGCAGCAGAGTCTCGTCTGTGGGCTCCGTCTTCACCTGAATACTTCCGCTGTTCAACAGACAGACAGGTAGAGAGTTAGACAAAGAGACAGAAAGGTAGAGAGAGAGAAAGAAAGATAGACAGGTAGGGAAAGACAGAGAGACAGACAGGTAGAGGGAGAGTTAGACAGGTAGACAGAGAGACGGACAGGTAGAGGGAGAGTTAGACAGAGAGAGAGAGACAGGTAGAGAGAGACAGACAGGTAGAGGGAGCGTTAGACAGACAGACAGGTAAAGGGAGAGACAGACAGGTAGAGGGAGCGTTAGACAGGGAGACAGACATGTAGAGGGGGAGTTAGACAAAGAGACAGACAGGTAGAGGGAGAGTTAGACAGGTAGACAGAGAGACGGACAGGTAGAGGGAGAGTTAGACAGAGAGAGAGACAGGTAGAGAGAGACAGACAGGTAGAGGGAGCGTTAGACAGACAGACAGGTAGAGGGAGAGACAGACAGGTAGAGAGACAGCCTAACAGAGACATCTTAAAGCTTCAGTGTGTACGTTTTTGTGGCATCTAGTGGTGAGGGTTGCAAATTGCAACCAGTGGCTCACGGTGCGTTCAGGTGCCCCTCAGACGGTCCCATTTCCAGAGTTGTGAAGTGGATCTTCCGACTGTGTGTTCATGTATGGTGACGGCTGAGGAGCCGGTTTGTAGTTTGATGTTGTGGTGGATAGATTGCTTGGCTGGAATGACCACGAGTTCAGCCTGAGAGAGGTTCAGCTGAAGGTGGCGAGCCTTCATCCATGCAGATATGTCTGACAGTCTGTGATCCACACGGAGACGGTGGGGTCGTCTGGCGGGAAGGATAGGTAGAGCAGCATATCGTCTGCATAGCAGCGGTAAGAGAAGACGTGCGAGCGAATGATCGGCCCCAGTGAGGTGGTGTAGATGCCCATTGATGACAGTGCAGATAGCAGGATCCTGAGATAGACTGTGTCAAAGGCAGCTGATAGGTCAAGCAGGAAAAGAACCGAAGACTGCAGCTTCAGCTGACCTTAGGGCTTCTGTTTCAGACAGGAGAGCTGTTTCAGTAGAGCGGCCGCTCTCCTGCAGAGCAGATGCTTCACTGGCAGCAGCTGCCGGAGTTTCTTTCTACAGGCTGCTCACGCTGCTGTGCTGCTTTATCAGAGGCTTCAATACAAAACTGTTTGCGGTTGAAAGCTTCCTGCTGGTTGCACAAGGTTTACAACAGAAGACCATGTTCTCTGAATCTCTGAGTGTGACACAGCCAGGCCTGATGGCAGGACTTCCAGCTATGGAAAGAATGCCTCTCTCCCTTCTTCTTCCTTTAGCTTTTTGGCTAGCAGCTGACGTTTGCTTGACAGCATAACGCCCGGAGTTGCTGACCTGCAGCGCGGTCGCACATGTTATATTAATATGCGAAATGAAACACAAACAGATCCAACTGTTGGCACTTCATTATTGAGTCAACAAGAATTTACAAACTATGCATAATCTACGTTCATTACAGTCTTCTGACCGGCTACCGAAGCGCTTTTGCCCCCTGGCTGCGCATCCTGTACTGTTAGTACACAAGAAATTGTCTATGGCTTGGAGGAGATTGGTAGGAATTGGGTCCAGTAGCCACGTAGTGGGACGACTACGGGTCAGGAGTTCTGATACCTCGCTCTCTGTGAGAGGAGTAAACAAGGAGAGTGAAGAACCACTGACCTGGGAGGACAGAGGAAAAGATGTAGGAGGACTGCTACATGTTAGTCTAGAGGAGTGACAGTTAGGCACTCGGCGACACAGTTTCGGACAGGAACCAGGTCTAGCACCTTGCCAGCTTTGTGGGTCGGGGGGCCCGAGTTAGATCAAAGGACTGAATCAGAGACAGGAAGTCTGCTGATTTTGATTTGTCTAAGTGGATGTTCATGTCACAGAGGACGAGTAACGGACAGCCTGCTCTGGGACTGAAGACAGCAGTGTTTCTAGCTCGTCCACAAAGTTACCCACTTGTCCTTGTGGACGGTAGATGACAATCACAGAGACCTTTACCGGAGTGGACACCAAGACAGCATGGTATTCAAAGGAGGCATATTGGTTCGGGGTTAGCAGCTGAATTTCCATTTGTTGGAAACTGAGAGCCCGGGTTTTATTTTACTCTCTGTAAATATGATTGTTTTTCAGATTTCATACCAAAAGCACAATAAAGTATAAAACACCAAAAGATTTCTACAGGCGGTAAAAACAAGTCCGTGGTTACCTGTCTGACTGGTTGCCATGGTGATAAATGGTGACAGGGACAAGGGTGATGACTCTCTCTCCTCCCAGCCTATCAGGAAGCACCACCTCCTTACGCATGTTAATGTCTGAGTACGGACAGCCGAAGGCACTGGCCGAGAGAGGATAGAAACAGGACTCAGCAGGCTGAAACATGACCCAGCAGGCTGAAACAGGACTCAGCAGACAGAAACGGGAGTCAGGAGACAGAAACGAGACTCAGCAGACAGAAAAAAACAGACTCAGCAGAGAGAAACGAGACTCAGCAGAGAGAAACGAGACTCAGCAGACAGAAAAAAACAGACTCAGCAGAGAGAAACGAGACTCAGCAGACAGAAAAAAACAGACTCAGCAGACAGAAACGAGACTCAGCAGAGAAACGAGACTCAGCAGACAGAAACGAGACTCAGCAGACAGAAACGAGACTCAGCAGAGAGAAACGAGACTCAGCAGAGAGAAACGAGACTCAGCAGAAAAAAAACAGACTCAGCAGACAGAAACGAGACTCAGCAGAGAGAAACGAGACTCAGCAGAGAGAAACGAGACTCAGCAGAGAGAAACGAGACTCAGCAGACAGAAACGGGACCCAACAGACAGAAACGGGACTCAGCAGAGAGAAACGGGACTTAGCAGGCTGAAACATGACCCAGCAGGCTGAAACATGACCCAGCAGACAGAAACGAGACTCAGCAGACAGAAACGAGACTCAGCAGAGAGAAACGGGACTCAGCAGAGAGAAACGAGACTCAGCAGAGAGAAACAGGACTTAGCAGGCTGAAACATGACCCAGCAGGCAGAAACATGACCCAGCAGGCAGAAACATGACTCAGCAGACAGAAACGAGACTCAGCAGAAAGAACCGAGACTCAGCAGAAAGAAACGGGACTCAGCAGAAAGAAACGGGACTCAGCAGACAGAAACGGGACCCAGCAGAGAGAAACGGGACCCAGCAGACAGAAACGGGACCCAGCAGACAGAAACGGGACTCAGCAGAGAGAAACGGGACTCAGCAGAGAGAAACGGGACTCAGCAGGCTGAAACATGACCCAGCAGAAAGAAACGGGACTCAGCAGACAGAAATGGGACTCAGCAGACAGAAACGGGACTCAGCAGACAGAAACGGGACTCAGCAGACAGAAACGGGACTCAGCAGGTGTGGGTTTACCTGTGGTGTCCGGTGTACTTGGCTCCCTTAATGTGACCAACTCCTCTGCAGCCTGGAGTGGGACACACACCCTGAGAGGGGGGGGAGAGGGGGGAGGAACCTGTCTCACACACAGAAGGGACATGAACTCTGTTAGTAATGCTGCTGGTAAAGTATACCTGTCTCTCTCTCCGACCTGTCTGTCTCTCTCTCTGACCTGTCTCTCTCTCTCTCCGACCTGTCCGTCTCTCTCTCTGACCTGTCTCTCTCTCTCTCCGACCTGTCCATCTCTCTCCGACCTGTCTGTCTCTCTCTCTCTCCGACCTGTCTCTCTCTCTCTGACCCGTCTCTCTCTCTCTGACCCGTCTCTCTCTCTCGCTCCGACCACCTGTCTCTCTCGCTCCGACCTTTCTGTCTCTCTCTCTCTCT